AGTGTGCATTATTTGGAGTCATTTCATTTTTGATTAAAAACTGATTGATACTTTTGCATACTAATTTCTCTAAGACCTTTGACAAACATGGCAAAATTGAAATTGGACAATAACTTGAAAATGAGGTTTGATCCCCAGTTTTATACAAGGATACAACTTTTGCAACCGTTAAAGGAGAAAAGTCTGTTTCTTTATCCAGTAGGATCATGTCAGGTTCTGGTCCAGCACTTCGTTCCTGAGACTCTTCCACTGTGATGGATGTTCTTGTTCTGGCAGATTGTTGTGTTCAGATCTTAGATCTTGTAGCCACGAGGCATTACATGATGCCTTTTCACATTATGTGTTTGGGTTCTTTGATACCAGGGTCATGCACTTGCAGCAACATTAATTGTCTTTTTGGGATCCGAATAAATCTGAACCTGCCACCTTCTCCCATATGTTTCTCCATTATTTGTCAATCTCAACTTTGGGTGACTCTACTCTCATGTTGATCTTCTCTGGACGATGTGGTGAAGAAAACTCCATTTGTCCTCCTGGCTTTTGTTTCTTGAGTGTTCCTCCAGAGCAGTTGTTTAGCAATCTCTAGAACATCAGGTACAAACAAGTTGTGGTATTTCTGTGGTGGATCTTTTTTCATTGCACCTTTCTGTTGAGACAGCTGATTATTCCTCTCCATGTTGCTTTGATCTTAGCTTCCTCCTCCATTTTGGACAGTAGTCCTAGGCTTGATATTGAGCCAAGCAATTTAAGGACCACTGTTGCAGTGATATATAATAACGTATGAGTCTCTGTGATGATGACAACACAAAATATGCCAATTCTTCTGAATGATTTAATGTGATGCTCCTTTTTTTGTAAATAGTTTGTTGTTGTTGTTCGTTTAAAGCTGTAAAACACCACAATTGTCCAAAAGGAACAAAAGTTCAATGTAAACAGGTTTAATGATAATTTATTATTAACAACAAGATGTTGGAAACGGCTCTATTTCTAAATTTGTAACACCAAGTGATGGGCAAATCTAACCTACAAGTTAGCTAATCCATGTGGATTCTTAAATCCAATAACTAAATTATGGCGCTTGCCCAGTGACATTGGATAAAAAAAGAGTTAATGCGTGGCCATGGGTTACTATCTTGTGGCCACTAAATAAATATTGCAGTCATTTCATGCCAACACTGTTGATTGTTAATGTGAACAAGTTTGAATTCATTTAATTTTATTTTAATATAAGATTGAATGACATCCTTCAGTCTCATTAGACATAAAGTAATTCTTAGCTTTATATGTTGCAGCTATAAGGAAAAGGTGACGACTGGAGTTGTATTTGTTTAAAAAGCTTTGTCTTTTTTAAGCTCAACATTCAAATTAGGATCCTCTCTCACGCCGTGCCTTTGCTGCAGAAGAAGTCAGAGTATGTCATGTTCAACAACACTTAAAAAAGTTCCCCCAACACACACCTAGGGTGTTCATCATCTCATCTCATAAATGCTATGAAAGATGAACCTTTTAGAAGAATACACAATAATAATAANGTGGGCACAGTTCCCCTAAAGCACTAATAGGGGAACTAATTTCCTGATTAGTGCTTTAGGCCTTTTGCTAATTTTAAAATTTATTAGTGGATTAGGCCAAAGTTTCATTTAAAGCTGACAAACAAAGTTTATCTGTTTTGGTCAAACCTTACTAATAATAAGTGGTGGGCACAGTTCCACTAAAGCACTAATAGGGGAACTAATTTCCTGATTAGTGCTTTAGGACTTTTGCTAATTTTAATTTTTTTAGTAAATTAGCACTTGCTAAACTTATTGGCTAAATTTAGAAGCACTAACTGAGGTCTATAAATMTTATTGATCAACGTTCATGTTAACAGCTGAYGGTGAAAGCTGTCACACATTGTGTTCATATGTGTGTCACTMATCCACCAGGTGATAATATATGAACKCAAATACAGCTGAGGAATGTCAATGATAAGTCTTAAGAGAGAAATATGGCAACATGTGATTCGTTGTCTGTTGAAGAATGTTCATGGGTTGAATGGGTTATTTTAATGCTTTAGAATTAGCTTTTACTATTTGAGTTAAGTGTTTTAGGGCTAGTGGAACTAATTTTTAGATTAGTGCTGCTCACCACTGGTAATAATAATAAAGTGTGGGATACTTTTGAACACAAACACAATGTATTCAAATAGAATCTGACTCCAACAATGTTGACATCTCTCAAAAAGAAACACTAATCAAAATTATCTCATGGCCACACATTATTGCTTTTTTATTCAATGTCACCAGACTACTACTCCGCAATAAACAGTTAAATAAACAAAAATAAAAAATATCAATTTGTGGTAGCTAATGTTAGCACCAAGACGACTATCACCTCCTTCCAGTTGAAGACTGGTGGACTAACATAAACCTGTTGTTAGTTTTCTATTGGTTTAATTTGGAAGTGGGTGAGATCACCTGTGTCAAATCAGCCAATCCAAACCAAAGTAATAGCTTTGTCTAACTTGTGATACTTCCAGTTTAACCCTTTCATAATGAAAGCCTTTCTAGAGCAATTTTTTAGAAATACATTTGAAGTTAGTCAAACAACAAATAGCAAATACTATATTTTTGTATTTGTTATTTAAATATTGTTAAATGTTAGTTTGAAGTTTAGCTGCTAAAGATGCTACATGCTACACACACAGTGCCTGACACATCCAGCCCTGCTTGTAAAAGTTTTTATTTAATTCAGGATAAAGGGCATAAAAATAGAAGTTTTACACTTGTGATTTTTTTAGTGGACTTAAAGTAGTGAAACTTAATTTAGTGAAAGCTAATTGGTCTGCTAACGGCTTCCAAAGTTAAAAAAGCTAATCCACTAAATGAGAAGCTAGCTCCACTATTAGTGGATTATCAGAACTGTGCCCACCACTGATAATACCCAATAAACCCAAAGTTTAGTGTTCAGTGTTTACTCCTACTTTGTCAGTTGGTAAATGGTAAATGGACTGTACTTATATAGCGCCTTTCTATCCATCAGGGACACTCAAAGCGCTTTACACTGCAGACATTCACCCATTCACACACACATTCACACACTGATGATGGCAA